ACTTCCCCAAGTTTCTCAATTTTCTAATCTGTACAGTGGACAACTTGCCAGCTTGAACACAATCGTGGCTTTAACATTAACAATGAAAATGCAACTACAAAAGACCTAGTGATGGCCAACAGCTCCTGGGGCTAACTGTAAGCTAGACATTGTCCTAAGGGCCTTAACACAATAATTCAGACCATCACCCTAGAAGACAGGTATCATTCCATTTTACACAGAAATTAACACCTGCACAGTTTGCCTAGGGTCACACAGAAGTGGAAAGAGACAAAGCCAACATTCCGACACTGCACTCAGATGCTCCTAACCAGGATAGTCCACTGCCTTCTAAATGTGGAAGGCAGGGCAGTGTAAGATTGCATTTGAGCCTCATATTTTAACAACTGAAGGCTGCCTCCAATTTGCTCCTTACCTGTGCTCAAAATTGCAACCCTCTCTCCTGCAGAAAACCACAGCTTTTTCTTGGCCTTTGCTTACAGCACAGGTAAATTACAACTAAAACCACTTAGTGAATTACTGGTTGCAAATTACAAACACCTGCCAAGGAGGTGCTTGTGGAGAAAGGCCATCTCCACTCCAGGACCTGGGAATTAGCGCTCTCCTCCTCCACTCCCAGAAGTATGAGAACACAGGTCTGTGTGCAGAATTTTCTACTTCCCAGGCTGCAATACCCAAAGAGGCAGGCAAGTTCTCTCACACACTGGAATAACGAATTCCATTTCCCTCCATGAATGAGCAGTCTGTTTATCACTTATAGAAGACAAAATATTTTTTAAAAAGATAAAAGATTGTTCCTCAATGCACACACACACAAAATACTGAGAAAGTTGCCATCAGAAGAAAAAAAAATACTGATGCTACAAAATGAATTTTTAGGGAAATTTACTAATCGTCATTGTTTTAAAAATACCACAGAAGAACGAAAGTGGTTTGCATTTTCAGTCGTATAAATTACTTGTGCATTTAGTAAAAGTTTATCTAGTAAAAGTAACCTTAAAAGTATATCATGCTGAAAAACAAACAAAAAAAGTCAACAATTGTGGAACTAGAATGTTTCCATACAAGCTAACATATTGACTTCTTACCATAATTTTCAGCAAAAACAATTCTGACTGGAGCCAAACAAAAGCCTCACGTCAACCTTTCGTAACAGTGATAAACAAGTCTTTTTAAAGCTGATTTTGGATATATGAATAAGGGAACTGCATTCTGCAATGAGAGTCAGCTGCAAAATGCCAAGGACACAATAAGACAACTTAAAAGTTTGGGGGAAAAAACAGCTTAAAGTTTGGTCTCATTGGTTTCCTGAGGCAAGCAATCAAGTTTATTTTTTTTCTCCCAGCTCAGCACTAAGTCAGGCGTTTGGCAGGAATTTGACACACAACACTGGAAGTTATAAATGACACCTGTCGTTAGGACTATCCACGTGAAGCAACAGAACATACTTCTCATATTATCTAACACAACATTAAAATTCAAGACATGCCAACATGTTCCATTTGCTCTGTGTTGTATCTTTAGATGTATGCCTTCAAAAATAAGGCATAAAACTATTTACTCATTCTTATACAGAAAATAATCAAGTAAGTAATACTACAAAATCTTCACTCGGGATTTCTTGTAGTATTTAAAAATTTTTTGAGGATTGGTTTAATTTCACGACCAATAATGTAGAATTATGGATGTCTCATTGATTTAAATTAAGTAAAATCATTGGAGGAACAGTGCCAACAGTGCAGCCACTCAAACTTTTTCTTTCTTTTGAAAATATACTGCAAGAGTCAGCTCTTGCAAAGTAGCTACATACAGCAGAAATCTCTATGGACTTGGATGCTGTTAAGATCATTTTGCAGTCCAAATGTTCTAGGAGACTAGGAATGTGAATGAAGAAAACTCGCAGGCTTTTTCTACAGGAACTGATGGAATCAAAACCAGGCAGATTTGGGGCCAAAGAAAAAACCTGTCCAAGATTCAGGCAGCAAAAATAGATCTGTTGTTCCTGAACTGCATGCCAGCCCAACTGGTAGAGTCAAGGGCTCTGAGGTGGAAATCGGGCAGGGTCCAGTAGCAGGGCTTCCCTCTCCACGGGAGCACCTCTCAGCTGCCAAGCCTGCCCAGTCTCAGAAAGCAACTCACCACACCACATGAGCACAGCTCCTTCCTCCACTTTCCAACCCCAACTGACTTCCACCGCCTGCATGGAGAACACCTCACGGAGAGTGGAAATGCAGACTGTGCTGCAGAAAAACAAGTAGAGCCGGAAACAGTAGGCACTGCTTCCTGCCATTTCCCCGCTCACAACTGGCCCTGCAGCCCCAACTGCCCCCCGACGGTGCCGTTCCACCTGGGGCCCACCCTACCTGATTCTGAATGAACCTGTTTCCACACAGCTCATCATGGCCAAGGATGCACACTGCAACTATCAGACCACGGACCAGGCAGAGTGGAGAACACGGTCCATTCCACTGTGCCTAAACCTCACCCTAGGTGGCAGCCATGCCATGTGACTAAAGATGATGTAGCTGAATACATGGCAAATGTAGGGGTGATTAATTTATCAAGGAAACGTAAAGCTGTCTGGATGAAGTTCTTTAGGCAGGGAGCTAAGTTAGAAATAGAGTAACCAGGACTCGAATTGGTGCTTCTCTGGGATTTCAGCATCAAGGCAGTGGCTTTATCCACTACACCACAATGTGCATAAAGTTTTAAAAGGATGCCATTCTATCAGTTCATCCAGCAAATGGAATATAATGAAACTGCGTAAAGGAACACAAGAACATGGGAGTTTGGGTTAACACATCCATTGGGACATCCATATCCCATTTCACAGAGCCTAGGCTCTGCTCTCAAGCACACTCTCTTGCTAATGTGCAGCTGCTGGAGGTCTGAGTCCTTGGCTCCTTGCTTCCACGTGTGAGAGAACAGAAGCGAGCCTTCAGCTCCTGGCTTCAGGTTGGATTCACTATTGTGGGCACCTGGGACACGAGCAGGTGCAAGATCTTCTCCATCACACACATTAAGCCTTCCCAATAAACAATTTAAAAAGGGAGGGCGGAAGCATGTCATGGTGGCTTCACAAACGAATTCTCTGCCTGCAGCACTGACACTGCATATGCATGCCAGGTCAGTCCTGGCTGGACCACTTGTGACCCAACACCCTAACTGTGGCCTGGGAAAGTCACTGAGGATGGCTCAAGTCCTTGGGACACTGCACCCACGTAGGAGACCTGAAGAGGCTTCTGGCTCCCAGCTTTGGATGGGCTCAGCTCTGGCCATTGTAGCCATTTAGGATGTGAATTACAGAATGGAATCCCTTCCCCCACCCCTCTTTCTGTGCAAAACCTGCCTCTCAAACAACATCTTTAACACACACACAAATATCAAAAACACAGAACTTTTAAATGAGAGGGCTTTCACCTACACTATGCTAAATCTCATACTCAAAAATATCTACACCAGCAAGGTTTAAGAAATTAGCGTGCTCTGGAATAGAAAAGTGGTGTGTGCACAGGGAACGCCTGAACCTCAAATTTGTCTTTAACTGTATTAACGTGCTATAAATAGGCCATCACCTGTTCCTCCTTCCCATTTAGATAGAGGAGCCAGAATGGGTTTGAATTACAGATTCCAGAGACTCACAAAGCAGATATGCTTTGTAAGAACAGGTTTCCAAAGGAAAATTGGAAGGGTGTCCCCACCCCTTCCTGCCTGGAGGACAGAGACTGAAGGGTACGGCTTAGAGACCCTGCTTGCGGACGTCTCCCTCCAAGTCCTTTCAGACCTCAAAGTGGCCAAGAGCGGCAGACAGCCCAGCCAAGCTGCCTGTGTGCAGAGGTGCCCAGCGCTGCAGCCCACCCACATCTGGCCTGGAAACATCCGGAGGCGCCTCTGCTCTCGCCCCTGTCTACAGGAATTGGTGTGTGCAGCTCTGCCGTCACTGCCTCCTACGTGGGATTTTCTGTTCTTTACTGCACTCAATCAAAAGGCAACACATGGGGCAGCAAGCAGAGGGGAAGCACCGTGATTTTAAAACGCCCGAGGCTTCGCACGCGTAATAACGTTTGAGGATCCCGTGGCTCACGATCCCCAACTGCCAGCCATCAATGGCAGCTGCTGCACGCACTTGGTGGTGAAAACGTCCGTGCCTAAGATCTTTTCTTGGCTCTCCAGACACAACTAAGCGCGCTCCGTTCAAAAGACAGCATCCTGGCCACATTCACTACTGCCCGCTGCACCCTCGGCGCGGGCCTCGCGCACCACTGTGCACACGCGCCAGTAAGGCGCTGCAAAAGTTTAAAGCCCACACCAAGAGGGAGAGCTGGGCTACAGGAAGTTACCGCCATCTACAGATTTCCTCTCCTAGCTCAGAAATGGAGCCAAGGATTTCTGCTGGGGGGGGGGGGGAGGCAGGAATCTGCCAATGCCGACCTCAGCTGTAGTGCTGTGGGATGCTCTGGGTGATGAAATCACCTTAACTTCCTCCCCCCAAACCGAGTCCCAGGATGGGCGGTCCTCCAAGGGTCCTACACTCCAGGGCTTCCCGACCACGGGGCTAAATAACCTCAAGTGGAAAGACAAGGCTGGAACCCCCACCTCCCCATTTTTTTCTTGCCATTAACCACTTTCCCAAGGCAGGCATTATAGAGGGTCACACAACACTCAATTCGAATTTTAGGTCGGTTTCGAGGACCGTGCCAGTGGACTAGAAGGGCGCAGCGGCGCCGCGCAGCCCACGAGCTCACGCGCCCGAGCCCTCCGCACGCGGACGCGGCTGGAAGCGGAGTTTGTCCGCCCTGCGCGTCCACCTGGCGAACACCCTGGCAACTTTATTTTGGACCAGGCGGTCCGGGGAAACTTTGTCTCGCCCGCAGCTCTCGCCTGAGCCAGGGCGGCCGCGGGCGGGCAGGAGGAGGCCCGGGCGGGAAGCGGCTCGGGGGGTCGGAGCCTGCTCCGGCACGGGGAAAGCGTGGGGCAGGTCGCGCGGGGAAGCCACTCACCAGCCCGAGCGCGAAGAAGACGGCGAGCAGGGCAAGGCAGGTGCCCATCACGATGAGCAGTAGGAAGACGATGAGCGGGTGCTGCTGGCTCATGCAGTAGTACGACTCGTAGAGCCAGTCCCGGGACCGCTGCAGCCCCTCGCCGCCGCCCGCCGCCGCTGCCGCCGCCGCCTCGGCGCGGTCCCTCAGGTAGCGGCGGCGCCGCATCGCCTCCTGCCACATCGGAGCGGCTGGTGCGCGCCCGGCCGGGGCAGCGCCGCTCACCGCCTCGGCCGGCCCGGCTGCGGGCGCCCGGCGCTGCGTGCGGGGGCCTCCGGCGCGGGCGGAGCTCGGCGCCCCGGGCTGGGCGCGCTGACGCGCGGGCGGGGGCCGGGCGGCGGCCTCAAGGGCAGCTCCGGGCGCCGCGCGGGAGGGGGCGGTGCCGCAGGGGCCCCTCGGCCCGCCTCGCCCCACCCCGCGCGCAGCCGGCCTCGGCGCAGGGGCGGAGCCGGCCCGCACCCGCCGCCGCCCCCCGACGGCCGCACGGCGCGCGGGGAGAGGCTCGGGCCGCCGGGGGTGCAGGAGGCGGGAGAGAGGGCGCTGCGCTCGGGGCCCGGGACTTCCTCTCCCTTGGCCAGGGCACGCTTGGCCTCAAGGTCTCCTCTGTCCTCACCGGAGCGCAGTTTGGTGGGGAAGCCCGCACTCCTGGAAACCGCTCAGAGCATGGGCGGGGGTGAGCGGGGGCCACAGCCCTCTCTTGTTGCCACTTGGCTCAGAGGCCGGCGGGTGACTCCCCTTTTCCACTCTCCTTAAGCGCCGAGGACCGGGATCCCCGCGACGCCCTGCAGTGGAGAGGGCTTCCCGTCCTGCTCTGCTCCCCGCAGCGGGGCCGAGGCTCCCACGTCCTTCCGCACTCCCCGGGGATGCGGGGAGTTTCCCTGCCCGGGTGGGCGGGAGGAGAGCCAATTGCCGCACCCACGCCGATCCCGGCGCCTGCAGCGTCGCTTGCACCTCGCACTCTTAGCCTTAGTCCCACTTTGGAGGTGCCCAGGCACTGGCCCTCGGCTGTCACTCTTGGAGATGTATGGGGCGCCCTGCGGCTGGCCACGGTCCCCACCCAGCGCTTTCTGGCCGGCGGCGGCGATGGCGGCGAGGATGCGCCTGGGAGCGCAGCTGGGCGCTGTGACTGGCGAGGTTGGCACTGGGATGAGCTCCTTGCGCGCCGCCTTGGGGCGCCGGGAGCGAGAGGCCGGGCGCCAGCCGCGCTCCGCAGGCATCCGGGGGGCGGCGCCCGCTCCGGATCGAAGGCGCTGATCCTCGTCCTGGAGATCGGGGCGCCATGGCAGCCCGTCCTAGTCGCGTCTCCATCGATCACACCTGGGCTGCAAAGCTTTAAGCAAAGGAATCCAGGAAGCGGAGCCCTCCCGCCACTGGCTAGCACCCCCTGCGGCGGGGTGGGCTGGGCCTTGTAATGCTGCCGCTTCTTGCAGCAGCTGATCCGTGCTCAATAGCCCAGAGACCCTGAGTCCTTGGTGCCACCCACCATTTCAGGAACGTTCTGGAACTGGCCTGCTGCCTTCCAGGTGGGCCCTATTCCGCTCAAGCGAAGGGCTTCATTCATAAAGGACGCGCAGCTGTGTGGTCAGCTCAGAACTCAGACCCTGCCCCTTGACCAAGAGTTAGGTTGCAAGTAGTTAATGCCTATGGGCTCCCGGGCAAGGGCTCATGCCTCCCGTGGCTCTGCCACACTCTAACTGGATCTCAGAGACCCAGCGGCAAGGGTACTGACTGGGGGGCTTGGGCAGGACGCAGAAGAGGTGGAAGACCCTTTCCCGAGGGTCCAGCTCGTCCATGGTCCCAGGAGTAGGCTGCCTTGGCTGAGTCCCTCAGAAGGGAGACCCTAGGAACACCCTGCTGAGCAGGGTCGCTGTCCTGTCCAGCCCTCTCTGCTCCCTGCTGTGCCCTGGGTCTTTCTGGCCCAGCAGTCACATTCTGGTCATTCCTCCTTTCTCCTGTTCTTCTGTCTTCACATCATGGACTGAAAAGGAAACCAAAAATCAAATAATGTGTGCTTGAGGTTTAGGCTGGAGAGAGCTGAAGGACGTGTGTGAGAAAAGCAAACCCTGACTCACCTTTCCCGTGGGGCAGCAATTTCCAATACCCTGTGAGCATGCATCCCTGTCCCAGGTGCCAAAGATTTTGCATGAAGATCATTTTGCGCTTGACTTCTTAAGAGTGTTTAAACAGCCATTGCTTTATTAATTCATTTAATAAATATTTGCTCTGTGCATACCATGTGGAGTGGTGAAAGAAGAAAGGACAGGGACCCTGGGACCCCTGTCGGAGTTTCCAACAAACTGGGAAAGTCCAGCAGCAAAAACCAAAAGACCAAAACTCAACCACCCATTTCCTACCATTTCATTTCCTACCACCCACCCCGCACCCCGGCTGAGTCATCCTACAGCAACACCTTAGCAGGAGTGAAAGACACAGTGGCTGTGGGTCTCCTCCCAGACTTTGTTGGTTTTGTTTAGTTTTGTGTGTCTTTTTCTGCAGGGGTCTCAGTGCTTTATGTAAAAGGACCTGGTCAGCGTCCCTATTTGGCACCCATTTGAATCCTGGTTCCTCTGCTTCTGATGCCGCTCTCTGCACGCACCTAGGAAAGCAGCAGAAGATGGCCAGATGCATGAGGCCCCTGTTCACATGTCAGACCCTGGAACCGATCTCACCTAGTGAGCCAGCCAATGTAAGATCTCTCACTCACTCACTCACTCTCTCATTCTCTGGCCTTTGTGCTGTGAGTGTCTGACTCTGATTTTCAAACACAATAAACTTCTAAAAAGAAAAGTAGACCAGGATACGCAACCTTATGATTGTTCTCTCCATGTCTTAGAATCCCCTGCACCACTTCCTGTGTAGGGAGAGGAGAGGGAAACAAAGAAACAAAGTATAACTGGTAAGCATCATCAGCTGAAAGTCATCCTTTAGTACAAAGCCAGGATTCTGAGATACAGGGCCATGTCACCAAGCCCCGTGGCGGCTGCTAGCTCCTTACTGCAGAGAGTAAGCCCAGGGAGCAAGAAGTTTCACCGCCCTGCCCATCCACTTACCTGTGACAAAATGCATAAGGAAGCTGTGTAAGCTCTCCCCAAGGATGTAAGAGGCATCGCAGGACACTCTCAACGCTAGAGGGCAGCCCTCTGTCCTCATAGCCCAGGGTGGGAAGGGCTTCTGGGTGTGCACTGGGGGTTCGCTTCTGCCAGTCATCACCTTGAAATCCTCAATGATCTTTTACACAAAAGATTGCACTCTTGCACCCTGCAAATGAAAAAAAAAGCCTGGTCCTGATGACAGGTCACCTCACACAGCCTTCCTGTCTCCCGCTGCCTGTCACAGCAGCACAGTGTCTGCCCCACGACAGGGCCCTTTTGTGCACGGACTCCAGGCCACTATCCCTCTTCTTGTGGTCATCTCTTCCAGCCTTCGCACAGACTACAACACACCTGATCGCCTGTTGATCCAAGTAATCCCGTTGTGAGTCAGGGTTATACATCCATGGGCTCTGCTTTAAAAATAACCCAGCTTCTAGTTTCTATTTTAAATCCACTTAGATTGGTCCGGTCAATAATGATGCTGTCATGTTCCTCGCAGCAACCTCAGGGCCTTGATTGATTAAATAAAGGCAGGCCAGCCAAGCCTGCCAGGGGCAGAAGGGGGTATATGGTGAGCATCCCAGGGATGGAGAGCTAAGCATAGGCTGTATCCCTGTGTATTCATTCTTCTCTTTAGCAAATACATTACTAAAATGTATATAATGAAGTATGAACGGTGTGTCAACAGATGCATCATCTCTGTGAGATATGTTTTGTGTACCCAGATAGCATTAACAGTTGTATTGAACCAGAGTCTGGGGCTATAGAATCCACCCAACCTCAGGTAGGTCTGGACTCCTAGAAGCTGTGTTAACCCCTGCAGCGCAGGCAAGCTTGCCTCAGCAGCCCAGTTTGCAGAACAAGTTGCAGAATCAACCACAAACTCATTCATCTTTTTCCTCCAGCCATTGCAGAAGGCTGTCCCCAGGCCTCTGAGAGCTCCTATACGCTCGGCTTGTTGGATGAATCATTTCTCCAGTGACAAACCAAGCATAAATATTTCATAGAGTCATCTTTAATGTCTGGTTTCCGGTGGATTGCTGGAATGCGAGGCCCTTAGAGTGAGGGAAAACAGCCCTGGTGTTTAGGAACAGACCTTTCACAAAACCCACTGATACCACTGAAAAAAGTGTACCACAGTACTTTTCGAAAAGCCACAGAGCTGTTGACGATCCTTCCATGAGCAGGATGAGAAGCAGGAACAGGGTCATCACTGATCAGTCTCCAGCCCCCGTGGCCCTAAGAGGGATATCAATTCCTCTGCTCTTGCTGGGAAAATGGGATGTGAAAGGCACTAACTCAGGCCAGGCAGGCTTGGGCTCAGGATGTGTGGCCTGGGGAAGTATGGGAGAAGGGCTTACTCACCAAGTTTGGAGGTACAATCAGGAGCACTCAATCGAGGCTAATTTCTTTACACTGTCAAACTGGACGATAATGTGAAAAGCAGTGCTGCAGTGTCCCTGAAGGGCATGAGTAGTCATCAGCAATGGGCTTTACAGGTGCGTTTTGTTGAGAACATTTCTCTTAAATTCACACACCTTTGTCTTCCTGTAACATGCAGTTTTCCATGCACGTTTCGAAGACTGTATCCACGGCTTTCAACATTTTTTTTTTTTTTGCATCAAAGTAAACACCTTTAAATTTCAATTTCCATGAACTTTTAAAAGTTCCTTGTGTTTTGGTTCAATTTCACCCAGCTTACATGGTTTAGGCCATTCCCCACGCTTTGAGGCATGATTTCATTTTCAAATTTGAAAACACATCAAGCTCATTGGTCCTGTAAGTCCACACTGTGTCATTAATAATCGTTGGCAGCTTTGGAATGCCCTCAATGTCCTGAGTTTTGTATCATCTCACATATTAAATGTACATCCTTGATGTGTCCTCTGAGTTTTAATTTATCTTTAAAGAATATCAATCATTTATTCTAAGCATTTTCATATATATTTATCCTATATTATGCTGGGGAAAGGCAGTGATTTTAATTCATTTCTTATGAATCAAGGAGAAAATTATTTACAACAAAGAACAGTTTGTAAGTATAAAATGCAACTACACTGGGAAAGTGTGTTTAGTGCAATCTAAATGTGTCACAGCAAGTACTG